AGTGAACACTATCAAAATACGTACAGTGGAACCTTGACTTACGAGTGCCCCAACATACGAGTTTTTTGAGATACGAGCCATCAGTCGGTTGATTTTTTGCTCTGATTTTCGAGCCAACATTTGAGTTATGAGCCAGCTCCCCCCCCCCCACTTCCCCCTCAACCCAAAACCTGGACACCTCTCTTGTTTATCTATGATTTCATGCTTTAATTCCATGGAAATCATTCTCTTTTTCTTCTCAGCACTGTCCTTTACACTTACTTTCTTAGGACCCATGGTTAGAAAAGGGAAATTTGGTCAAATGACTGTCAAAAATGTAAGCAAATCAGGAGAGAACTGCTCCCACAGCTAGGTAAACAGTGCACTGAGTTGACTTCATTCTGAAGCTCTCATTATAATAATGTATTATTATTATTAATTTTGGGAACTGAAGCTCTATCGTTATTGTAATAATTATTATAATAATTATTATTGATAATTTAGGGAACTGAAACTCTATCATTATAATTATTATTATTATTATTATTATTATTATTATTATTATTATTATTATTATTATTATTAATAATAATAATAATTTAGAGAACTTGAGCACATATCCAGTTCCCTACATTAAGAGCCCCTTACCAGCATCAAGGTTCCTTGACACTGGTGAGGGTCTCTTGATCTAGGGAATTGGATATATGCTCTTGTTCCCTAAATTAATAATAATAATAGTAATAATAATAATAATATTAATGACAGAGCTTCAGTTCTCTAAATTATCAACAATAATAATAAATAATAATAATAATTATTATTATTGCAATGACGATAGAGCTTGTTCCCTAAATTAATAGTAATAATAACAATAATTATTACAACAGCTTCAGTTCTCCAAATTAATAATAATAATAATAAATAATAATAATTATAATAATAATAATAATGTACATAATACATACGTAATAATAATTCAGAATCCTGCCGCTAGTTGGCGCAGCTGATGTATACATCGAAGCAGTTCTCTCCTGATTTGCTTGCAATTTTGACAGTCATTTTGCCAAATTTTGCTTTTCTAACCATGGGTCCTAAGAAAATAAGTGTAAAGGACAGTGCTGAGAAGAAAAAGATGATGATTTCCATGGAATTAACGCATGAAATCATAGATAAACATATGCAAGGTGCATGAGTTGTGGATTTAGCCAGACAATACCAGCGCAGTACATCTACTATATGTACCCCTCAAGGAAGGTTCCTTGATGTTGGTGAGAGGCTCTTGATTTAGGGAATTGGGTCTGTGCTCCAGTTCCCCGAATTAAGCCTGAATGCCTTCCACATCCCCCCCCCCAGGCGCCGTATAATCCTCTGGGTTTAGCGCTTCCCCTTGATTATAATAATAATAATAATTTACTATATGTACGATACTAAAGCAGCAAGATTCATTAAAGGCTATAGTGTCAGCCAAGGGCGTTACAATAACGTCTAAGCTGCGAACCTCTGTCCATGAAAAGATGGAGAAGTTGCTGCTGACGTGGTTGAGAGAGAAGCAGCTCACAGGAGATGCCGTATCAGTTATGTTCAGTGATTAAACAAAACAAATTGTATCAGTTATGTTCAATGTGTAAGTACATATACACTTCATATAAACAGTTTATTTCTTTACATTCTGTAGTATATTATGATTTATGTGTTTATATACAATATTTTCAGTATTTTCCTTAGAAAAATAGTGATCTATTGCAGTTAGCCTCAAAAATACTCTGTTTTCTCTTACAATAAGAGCACGGAAAGATATTCTCAGTATATACACACAGGAAATGGTGGACATATTTGCCGCTGCCTCTTCCACTGTATTATGGCCCATTTATTAATTCTAGAATATATATCGTGTTTCTGTGTTAATTATATTGTTTATTATATCATATTAGATGAATTGTGATACACAAATAAGCCGTATAGTTGATAATAGCGTCATATTCAAGTATTTTTTGGGGGGCTCTCCAGAGTTCAGGAACGGATTAATGGCTTTTCAATTAATTTAAATAAGGAAAATTAATTTGATATACGAGTAAATTGAGTTACAAGCTAGCTCCTGGAATGGATTAAACTCGTAAGTCAAGGTTCCACTGTATGTGATCCCAGACTTTTTAATATCTTACCTGAACAAGCGTAGAAGTCTTCAAGATAAAACTACCAGATAATTTCTTCTGCTAAGTGCCAAATCATGATACCAGGCTGTGATGGATATGTGGGTCAGTAGCCTGCCAGTAGCAACAGTGGTTGACCAGGCAAGCACCAGACAGGCCTGATCCAGAGTCAAGTTGAAAGAGTAGGAAAGCTCTCAGAATGCATCAGAGGTATATCAGAGGTATTATCAGCCGGTCTTCAAAGCTAGAGTTTCTTATTGGAATGTTTGAATTAGATTTGGACTATGTATGTCCTAATTTGCCATTTTTATTGAAATATGCCATTAGTGTCCATATGATAACTTGTGAATTTCTCTCCAGATTTGTTTCAAATCTTAAACACTAATATCTAACTGCATTAGAAACTTAATCCGAACTGTACTATTCCTTTTGCATGCATTGATGTACAGGGGGCTAGAGTTGTGCAGTGTAGGGATGCCTTTCCAAGATTGAATGGTGACTGATATACATCTAGTTTGCTTTGAGGTAAACCTGTGTGGGGAAAGGGAGAGGGAAAAACAAGTAGGAGAGGTATTTGTTTGATGAAGAAAGCGATGGTTTCATAATTTCTAATGTCTGTGTGTGCCTTGGAGTGAATCTGTTGGTTGAATTGGTATGTGTTGCTTTGAGCTGTGTAGGTTCCAGCAGAGCTTGATTAGTGGATGCAAGTAGGATCAACCTATCATTGGCCAGTAGGCCTACTGCAGTGTTCTACTGTGTGTGCCGAGGAATGTGGAAGGGGATACTTTCATGTGAGTGTTTATTTGGCATCTGTCAGTGTGTACATATGATACTTGTATATCAGTGTGATTTCGTGTATAGGGCAAGGAGGAATAACATCTTGTAGGAGTGAGGAAGAGCCAGTTGTGAGTGTGGGGGAAGTTCGTGAGGCAGTAGGTAAAATGAAAGGGGGTAAGGCAGCCGGGATTGATGGGATAAAGATAGAAATGTTAAAAGCAGGTGGGGATATAGTTTTGGAGTGGTTGGTGCAATTATTTAATAAATGTATGGAAGAGGGTAAGGTACCTAGGGATTGGCAGAGAGCATGCATAGTTCCTTTGTATAAAGGCAAAGGGGATAAAAGAGAGTGCAAAAATTATAGGGGGATAAGTCTGTTGAGTGTACCTGGTAAAGTGTATGGTAGAGTTATAATTGAAAGAATTAAGAGTAAGACGAAGAATAGGATAGCAGATGAACAAGGAGGCTTTAGGAAAGGTAGGGGGTGTGTGGACCAGGTGTTTACAGTGAAACATATAAGTGAACAGTATTTAGATAAGGCTAAAGAGGTCTTTGTGGCATTTATGGATTTGGAAAAGGCGTATGACAGGGTGGATAGGGGGGCAATGTGGCAGATGTTGCAAGTGTATGGTGTAGGAGGTAGGTTACTGAAAGCAGTGAAGAGTTTTTACGAGGATAGTGAGGCTCAAGTTAGAGTATGTAGGAAAGAGGGAAATTTTTTCCCCGTAAAAGTAGGCCTTAGACAAGGATGTGTGATGTCACCGTGGTTGTTTAATATATTTATAGATGGGGTTGTAAGAGAAGTAAATGCGAGGGTCTTGGCAAGAGGCGTGGAGTTAAAAGATAAAGAATCACACACAAAGTGGGAGTTGTCACAGCTGCTCTTTGCTGATGACACTGTGCTCTTGGGAGATTCTGAAGAGAAGTTGCAGAGATTGGTGGATGAATTTGGTAGGGTGTGCAAAAGAAGAAAATTAAAGGTGAATACAGGAAAGAGTAAGGTTATGAGGATAACAAAAAGATTAGGTGATGAAAGATTGAATATCAGATTGGAGGGAGAGAGTATGGAGGAGGTGAACGTATTCAGATATTTGGGAGTGGACGTGTCAGCGGATGGGTCTATGAAAGATGAGGTGAATCATAGAATTGATGAGGGAAAAAGAGTGAGTGGTGCACTTAGGAGTCTGTGGAGACAAAGAACTTTGTCCTTGGAGGCAAAGAGGGGAATGTATGAGAGTATAGTTTTACCAACGCTCTTATATGGGTGTGAAGCGTGGGTGATGACTGTTGCAGCGAGGAGAAGGCTGGAGGCAGTGGAGATGTCATGTCTGAGGGCAATGTGTGGTGTGAATATAATGCAGAGAATTCGTAGTTTGGAAGTTAGGAGGAGGTGCGGGATTACCAAAACTGTTGTCCAGAGGGCTGAGGAAGGGTTGTTGAGGTGGTTCGGACATGTAGAGAGAATGGAGTGAAACAGAATGACTTCAAGAGTGTATCAGTCTGTAGTGGAAGGAAGGCGGGGTAGGGGTCGGCCTAGGAAGGGTTGGAGGGAGGGGGTAAAGGAGGTTTTGTGTGCGAGGGGCTTGGACTTCCAGCAGGCATGCGTGAGCGTGTTTGATAGGAGTGAATGGAGACAAATGGTTTTTAATACTTGACGTGCTGTTGGAGTGTGAGCAAAGTAACATTTATGAAGGGATTCAGGGAAACCGGCAGGCCGGACTTGAGTCCTGGAGATGGGAAGTACAGTGCCTGCACTCTGAAGGAGGGGTGTTAATGTTGCAGTTTAAAAACTGTAGTGTAAAGCACCCTTCTGGCAAGACAGTGATGGAGTGAATGATGGTGAAAGTTTTTCTTTTTCGGGCCACCCTGCCTTGGTGGGAATCGGCCAGTGTGATAATAAAAAATAAAAAAAATAATATCAGTGTATGTGTGTGGTAGTTGCTTGTCATTGGGTGTGTGTGTGTGTGTGTGTGTGTGTGTGTGTGTGTGTGTGTGTGTGTGTGTGTGTGTGTGTGTGTGTGTGTGTGTGTGTGCGTGTACTGGTTACATCTCTAAAAAATTTGGTGTTCACATTTTCTCCTTTTTGTGATGCAGGAGATAGAGGCAACTGTGGCAGCTGGTGTGATCAAGAACTTTGACCCGAACACCTTGCAGTATTACTGTGTGGTGTGTTCCCGGAATGGCTGCGGCGACATCCTTCCTCACCTCCTCAGCAAGGAACACAGAAACAGCCTAATCTGGGAAGCCGTCAGACAGTCCCCACCATCGCCCGCTGTCCTACAGCTAGTGCCAGAGGTAGTTCGTAATGCCAAGCTTAGAAACGAGGTGGGGGCTGTGGACAAGAACCATTTTTCATATAGATGTCAAATTTGTGTTGTGAAGAAGCCTTTCAATGGGGTGGCTCCTCTTGAAGCTCACCTCAATGGCAAAGAACACGAGAAGTCTAAGAGAAACATGCAGTTTACATCCATGCCACATCAAACTCCCTTTCTCCCAGAAGAGAATTCAGTACCCAACAGTAAGATACAAAAACAGAGCCCACCACCACCACCTTCACCACATTCGTCCCTGTCCAGCACACAGCCAGGTCAAGTTCAGATAACTAAACAGCCAATTTCCTTACCTTTTGAGATGGGGCCAGGGCTAGGCTTGGGTTACAATCGCCCCAACAGGCAATACCTTCATGAAGCAGACAACATTCATCAAGGAACTACATCAGTAGAGGCATCTCAGTATCCTCATTGGTCCTACCCCACTCACCATCTCGCATCACAGTTTTCACGCATGAGTTTACAGGTAAGAGGCAATATGTTTTTGCATTTTGTGTTTCAAGCTTTTGAAGGTTCTCTTAACCACAATATTTTGTCAGTCAACTGTGTAGTTAAAGGTTTGTAACACAAGTCTCATGATATTTATTTTTTAAGTGTCATTCCATTAGTTGTACATGACACTTAATAATAATAATAATAATAATAATATTATTATTATTATTATTATTATTATTAACCCTTTGACTGTTGGTGTCATATATATACGTCTTATGAGCCAGTGTTTTTGACGTATTAATACCAAAATTCTAGCGGCTTCAAATCAAGTGGGGAAAGCTAGTATGCCCCACATGTGAGAGAATGCGTCTGTGTGGTCAGTGTGCACAGTATAAAAAAATTCCTGCAGCACACAGTGCATAATGAGAAAAAAAAACTCCGACTGTAGTTTTGGATTAAAATGCTGACTTTGACGTGTATTTTCATATAATATTTATAGTTGTATTCTTGGTTTCTTGCTCTCATTTGATAGAATGGAGGACATATTACAGAAATAGAGATGATTTTGATTGGTTTCATGATGAAAAGGACCTTGAAATTGAGCTCAAAATAGCGGAAATGTTCGATTTTTGCCAATGTTCAAGAGTAAACAAATGATGTCACTGTCCAGTAAGTGTGCAACTAGCCATTCTGATACTCAGTCACGAATGGGTTGACATTATTTATACAATTATTATAATAATGCAGGTGTCTGCATAACAGTAAACCTTCTATTTTTTTGTGTGAATAAAAATTCAAAATAGAAATTGCTTTCTATTATAATACTATAAGTAATATAAGAGGGGCCTGGAGACGTGACTAATGAACAGAGAAAATGTTATTTTAGTGCCAGGAATGTCTGCATTGTTTATTCTGTACCCTATTTTGAAATTAGCATCTTTTTTAATTTGCTTGAAATTGGCCAAATTGCCAATTTCTGACCACTTTATTGGGTAGTTGAAATCAGTAAATGGGTGGTTTCTTGTACTCAGTCGACAGAACAGATGGAGTTCTAAAGAAATAGCTATGAGTTTAGTTGACCGGAACAGTGGAATTGGCGAAAAATAGAGCTCAAACTGGGTGAAATTGCCGATGCATATATATCGCTGAGATTGCTAACTTCGCGAGTGTAATTCTGTAAGCTTTCCATCAAATTTCGTACTTTTGGTGTCATTACCATCGGGAAAAGATTCTCTATCATTTCATAAGATTTTTTTTTTTCGCGACACAGAGAGACACTTCAGGATTTGGAGTCTCAACAGTCAAAGGGTTAAGCACCTAAGAAATAGTAAGTACAGTGGACCCCCGCATAACGATTACCTCCGAATGCGACCAATTATGTAAGTGTATTTATGTAAGTGCGTTTGTACGTGTATGTTTGGGGGTCTGAAAGGAATAATCTACTTCACAATATTCCTTATGGGAATAAATTCGGTCAGTACTGGCACCTGAACATACTTATGGAGTGAAAAAATATCGTTACGGGGGCCCCTTTGTAATCATGTTTGTTCCAATGAAAAAAAAGATTAACTCCAGTTCTTTGAGAAGAGTCTTCAGGCATGAAGGTCCTGCATCCAAACCTTATACTGCCCAAACCCTAGGTCACGTTCACTGTGTAACATTCAAACGTAGATCTCATTTTTTTACATGCTTCAAATGGAGAAATAAAGTCGGACGTACCATGTGACGTAGATCTACGTTGGACAGTTTAAGATTTGGAGTGTGTAAACAGTAGTCATGTAAATTTAGTGCCAGGGAAAGAATATTGGCCAAAATCTTATCAATGCTTCATCCAAGAGCTAGACTCTTGGTACATGTTACAGTAGACCTTGTAAGGTGATTTTGTTCCTGACATGAATTTTATTGAAAATTGTGCATATAAATTTGAAGAAACGTAGGCATCCAGTGGACCCCCGCATGGGAAACGCCTTGCCATAGCGAACAATCCGCATAGGAACGCTTTGTTGCTAAAATTTTGCCCCGCATAGTGGAAAAAACGTCGGGCGACCTTCGTCCGAGCTGCCCAAATGTGCGCCCTCAGCAGCCTCACATGGCCGCCGTCCCATTGTTTACCAGCGCCTCGCGGAAACATTCAAGATACACTCGGAAATTTCGTATTATTAAAGTGTTTTCGGTGTGTTTTGGAAAAATAAGTGACCATGGGCCCAAGAAAGCTTTTCTGGGTGCAACCTAACACTCAAAGGGTAAGAATACCCTTTGGGAAATTAGAAGAGATCATAAAGTATGAAAGTGGATAGTATCAGACTGGTCAGGTTGTAAAAAACCAAAATAACATCGCTTTATTGTGGGCAAGAAAACGGCATCAGGAAGTGTGTTGCCAAGGTTTAACTGTGTTTCAAACAACAGATCGAAGTGATGGAGATGTTGAGAGATCTTTTGGTGTGGATAATGAAAACAGCTGCAGGGATAGCGTCTCTCAAGCGATAATGTGAAAAGGCAGGAAGTTGCATGACGATTAATAAAAAATGCTGAACTAGTGATGATGTGGTGAATTTAAGGCCAGCAAAGGTTGGTTTGAGAGATTTAGAAGCGTTGTGGCATCCATAGTGTGATACGGCATGGTGAGGCTGCCAGTTGGGGACCAAAAAGCGGCTGAAAAATATGTGCATGAATTAAAGGAATAATAGAAACTGAAGGACTGGAACCTGAACAAGTGTTTAATTGTGATGAAACAGGCCTGTTCTGGAAGAAAATGCCAAGCAGGACCTCCATTACTCAGGAGGAAAAGGCACTCCCAGGACATAAGCCTATGAAAGACAGGCTTACTTTGTTGATGTGTGCCAATGCTAGTGGTGATTGCAAAGTTAAGCCTTTATTAGTGTATCACTCTGAAAACTCCAGAGCGTTCAGGCAAAGAATGTCCTCAAGGATAATTTGTGTGTGCTGTGGAGGGCAAACGTAAGGCATGGGTCATAGGGATTTTTCTATAACTGGTTACACCATGCATTTGCCCCCAATGTGAAAGTTTAAACCTAATGAAAAGAAATTAGACCTTAAGTCCCTCGGGTGTTAGACAATGCCCTGGTCATTACAGACGTGGCAGAGCGACTTTATGGGGCATGGAGCTTCATTAAGGTGAAGTTTTTGCCTCCAAATTTACCACTCCTCTCCTGCAGCCCATGGACCAGCAGGTCTTTCCAACTTCAAGAAAACTGTACACAAAAGCTCTGTTTCAAAAGTGTTTTGAAGGGGACCACAGACACTGGTTGACTCTAAAGAGTTTTGGAAGGATCACTTTAATATCCTCAGTTGTGTAAACCCTTATAGGTAAGGTTTGGGAGGGAGTGACTAAGAGAACCTTGAACTCTGCTTGGAAGAAACTGTGGCCAGAATGTGTAGACAAAAGGGATTTTGAAGGGTTTGGGCTAACCCTGAGAGGAGTAGTATACCAGTTGGGGAAATCAATTGTGGAATTGGGGAAGTCCTTGGGGTTGGAGGTTAGTGGGGAGGATGTGGAAGAGTTGGTGGAGGGGGAAAATTTGAAGAACTAACCCTGATGAGCTGATAGATCAACTTCAAGAGCAAGAGGCCAGACCTGGGGAAACTGGTTCAAAGGAGGGGAGAGAGAAATTGAAGGAATTGCCTACTTCAAAGATTAAGGAAATGTGTGCAAAATGGCTTGAAGTGAAAACCTTTTTTTTGATGAAAATCACCTCACAAGCTATTGCAAGCCGTGCTGTGGTGACTGTTACAATGACACTGTTGTGAACCATTTTAGACAAATCATAAAGGAACGAGAGGTACAGGCCACTATGGACAGATATGTTGTGCGAAAGAAGTCCAGTGACTCTGAAGCTGGTCTGTGGCATTAAAGAAGAGAAGGGAGTAAACCCCAGAAAAGGACTTGTAACTCAAGTCCTAATGGAAGGGGATTCCCCTTCTAAACACTAACACTCTCTTCCCCTCCTCCCATCCCATCCAATCATCACCAGATCTTCAATAAAAGTAAGTGTCATGTAATTGTGCATGCCTTTTCTTTTGTGTGTACTAAATTAACATTTTTTTGTGGTAAAAAAAATTTTTTTTTCATATTTTTGGGGTTTGTCTTGCACGGTTTAAATTTTATTCCATTATTCTTATGGGGGGAAAATTTTAATTCGCATAGCGAACATTTCGCATAACGACCAGCCCTTTTGCACGGATTAAGTTCGCTATGGGGGGGGGTCCACTGTATTTGGGTGAATAGGGTATTTTTTGGGTGATTTCTGTAGCTGATTTATATCATTCTGGGTCTCCTGCATGTGGAGGGCCAGAACATATTTGTAAAGTTCTTTTTTCATCAGAAATACTGAAATTTTTGACACCTTTTATTGTAGACAATGTTGCTTGTTGATCTAGAAATATATGCTATGTACCCAAATTGTAATAAAAACTTAATTACTATATATCTTGTTTAAAAAGGTAAGTGCTTCTGTCTTTATCTTTCAAAACACGGGAATTTTTGCAGGGAAATTCCCAGCAGCAGCATGATTGTGCATTTTAAAATCGTAAAATCAGCGACCACTAAGCACATTTTTGTGCAGACTTTAATTCATTGTTACACACTTTTATAATCAGGGTTTTCTCCTTGAATATAAGACAGTGAAGTGGTGCACCTTTCTTGGTTTTCTGCTCACTCTGCTTACTCAGAAGGTTTTGTTTTATTTAAATGTTGTGACCTATTTGGCATTCTCTTCAAGTCACATCCTGGGATTAATCATTGCACAAACTTCTATCTTTTCCTTATACCTGTTAATTATATGAATTTATGCTTTATTGAGCCCAAAGGCTCATGCCATTGCCATCACAGAGCATCACTTTGTAGTTATCTAAAAAATTTTATTTTTTTTTTCAAATCACCAAGACTATTACACTTATTCTTCTTGGCACTTCCAGCATCACTTACCTTTCTCTTGGGTGCCATGATTACTTTCCAGACATGAGATGAGTTGATGAAAAGATCAAAAATTCATTCAATAACATGTAACTGAG